TTCTTTTTCTAGAAGTTTTAAGTTCAATTAAATTGTTTATTTGTGCTTGCTCTGTTTTCCTGTTATGGGTATTCATTGCTATAAATTTCCTTCTTAGGACTGCTTTTATTGTGTCCCATAAGTTCCAGTATGCTATAATGTCATTATCATTTAATTGTAGTAGCTATCTAAATTTTCTTTAATTTCATCTGTGACCCATTGATTGGGAGGGTGCTATTTAATTTCCGTGTGTTTATGAAGTTCTTATGGTTTCTTTTTGCCATTGATTTCCAATTTCATTGCATTATGGTCTGATAATATGCATACGATAATTTCAATTCCTTTGCATTTACTTAAGAATGTTCTGTGAGCTAATATGTGGTCTATTTTGGAGACCATCCTGTGTGAAACTGATGTTGTGGGCCAGAACACTCTGTAGACATCTACTAAGTCCAGTTCAAAAGTTTGGTTCAGTTCTAATATTTTATTGTTGACTTTTTTATCTAGTTGATCTATCTTTGTGACGGTAGGGTATTGAAAACCTGCAATACAATTGTATTAGTGCTTATTTAATTTTTCATGCCCTTTAATATTTGTTTTATATAGTTGGGTGCCCTGGTATTTGTTGCATATATATTTATGATTGTTATCTCTTCCTCTTGGATTGTTCCATTTACAAGGATGTAGTGACCTTCTTTATCTCTCTTAATCTATCTTGGCTTGAAATTCACCTTGTCTTCAAATAGAATACCTACCTTACTTTTTTCTGGGTTCCTTTTGCATGGGGTATTATTTTCCATCTTTTGACTTTCAGTCTGTGAATTTCTTTTTGAATTAAATGTGATTTTTGTATGCAACATATTGTTAGGTCATTCTGCCAGTCTGTGTGTTTTCATTGGTGAATTGAGAACATTAACATTGATGGTTATAACTGATATGCATTGACTAATAGTTATCATGTTATTTTCCTGTTGTTGGCTCCCCTGTTTTGCTTCCCTCCCTCTGTTTGCCTTGCCTGGCAGATTCTTTCTGTCTATGGACATGGAATTTCTTCATGGAGTTGTAACCCTTGTTATCTCTTTCTAGAATGCCTTTCAAAACATTGAGGAGTGCTATGGTGGTCATAAATTTCCTCAGATGTTCTTTGTCATAGAAGTATCTTATTTCTCCATCACTTTTGAAAGATAGTTTTGTAGGGTACATCAGTCCAGGTTGAAGGTTAAAAGATAGTTTTGTGGGGTACATCAGTCTGGGTTGAAAGTTGTTTTCCTTAAAAACTTGAAATACTTCACTCTAAGTTCTCCTTGTCTTGAGGGTTTGCACTGAGGAATCAGCTGTGATTCTGATGGGTTTTCCTTTATAGGTGATTTGTTTCTTTTCCCCAATAGCTTTTAAGATTCTGTTGTTGAATTTCTGGCATCTTGATTATGATATGCCTGGCTGTAGAATTTTTTTTTGATCATGACTAGTTGGACTTCTGTATGCCTCACTTAACTATAGATATGTCAAATTCTCTTTCCCTACCAAGGAAATTTTCTGTCATGATGTCTGTGAACCGTTTTTTAATATCATTTGTGTTATCTCCTGCCTTTTCATTGACTCCAATCAGTCTTAAGTTCTTCTTTGTCTCATTTAGCAGCTGTTGTTTGATTTCTTATGGTCCTCTGCTATTTTTAAGAAATCTTTCTTTTAGTGATTGCTAACCACAAGCCTGTCTTCTATATCTGAGATCCTGTCTTCACATTGTCTTAATCTTCTGTGAATACTTTCAATGGAATTTTTATTCTCTTAGATATCTGCTTGAATCTGCCTTAAGGATTCTATTTCTTTCCTATGATGAGCATTCATGACTTCCATAATTTTCCTAAAGTCCTCTCATTTTTTTATCTGTATCTTCTCTAGAGTCACTAAGCATGGTTTTCATTGTGGATACTATCTCTGCAGTCATCTGAAAAATTATTTCTGATATGATTTTTTTCTGAAGCCTCATTCAATTGCTTTGTTGTTACCACTTCAGAGATGCCATGTGGGTGGCTTTCAGGTTGTTCCACCTCACTGCCTGCTGGGTTTGCCTTTGATGAACTGCATGTCTGGGCTTGCATCTTGTTTAAATGTCTTCTCACTTTCTTTACTTTTTTTAGTTTAATTCATGAGGTGATGCTTGTAAATTGCCTATGGTGGGGTGCTTTATTGCTGGTATTTAGAACCCTTAGGAAATGACTACTTCTCTAAGACATTTTGCAAGTGTAACTGATTTTTGGGTTTTGAGTCTTTTGCAAGATCCTACATCTTCAATTTGTTGGAGATGAGAAGTGGCTGCCTGTTTGGCCCAGTCCCTGGTTCTTTGGCACTGTGCCACAGTATTTTCTATGACAGTCAATCTTAGTCTTGGAATACCAAGAAGAATGGCTGTTTAAAACAATTACGTCACTTTTGGGTAAAGTGGTACCATCAGCAATAACAGTAGCATCAATCACAGCCTAGAAAATGGCAGACTGAGGTAACCATTACTTTTCCACCTTTAACTGTATAAGCTAGATTTGTGGTTATATAACAAAATCTAAAACAAACCAGGAGTTGTGTGCGGTATACAAGTCCTTAATATGTCAAGTGTACCTTCAAGGGTTAAAATTTAAAACAGGTTAGGGAAAAAACAGAGATAGAGGAACAGGAGGAGATTAGAAGTAAGGCTGGAGGACAAAGAAAGATCACACTAACATTGGGAAACTGGTGCAAAAGACTGGAGGGAAAGAGAGAAGGAAGAGATAAAAAGAACAGAACAGAACAGCAACCACAAAGAGGCTAGAAACCACGTGTACACTCATATAAAAACAAGATTAAACAATGAAGGAGAAAAAAATAAAAAACTAAAACCACAACAACCAACGAGAGAGAGAGAGAGAAAAGTCCACTTCCAGATTTATGTCTGCTGTCACTAGTAGATAACCTGTAGAGACATAGTCTTGATCTGTTTTGATTTATCCCAGCAAGCCAGCAGTAGCTTTTTGGTAGGGTAGTGGATAATCTCAGCGAGCCTGCACCTTCTGGTGGAGACCAGACTCATTCAGCCTGCAGCCATCAGCACACCTTCCTTGGGCTGGAGCCCAACAAGGAGCTGTTAGATGGAGCCAGCAACTGCCCTGAGTTCTGAGCTTAACTGGCCCCTCTCCAAGATGGCTCCTGGCCAGTCATTCTCTTGCACAGAACGACTGAACCCTGAGCACTTACCTCTAGCTAATACAGTCTTTCATGTCCACTGCTCCCCTCTACTGCTGCGTTTGTCTGTATAGGCCTCTGGGGTCACCAGCAGTCACTGTGTGTCCACAGGTTTGAATCATCTCCAGTGAGTACTGTCTCAGGAACAGGATGCCGCCAGCTTCCTCCTTCTTCGTTAAAGTTTCTCTCTTCACCCTCTCCGTGGGCTTCAATTTGTACTTCAGATCCTTTGTGGGTCCACTTCTCTCCTTCTTGTCTCCCTCATGTTGCTGTATTCCAGCAACACTCAGAAAGGCTCTTTCTTGCTGATTACTATTCCCCCATTGGTGCCTCCCCAGTAATTGATCCATTGCAGAATACTGAGCAACATCCTACTCAATATCCACCTATTAGATGTCACTGGCACTCTTCTTCCAAATTTGTGACCAAAAACTACAAAAACTAAATGTTCACAGGGGAGAGGGGCAGTGGCAAATACATTCCTGGTCAAAAATCACTGTTCTAAGTAGAAAGAAAGACTAAAACAAGACTTAATCTAGGCCGGGTGTAGAGTTGCACACTTGTAATCACAGCTGCTCAGGGAAGCTGAGGCAGGAGAATCACAAGTTCAGAGATAACCTGAGCAATTTAACAGTACCATCTCAAAATGAAAAGGGCTAGGAAGGTAACAGTTCAGTGACAGAAGACTTGGCTAGTGTTTGTGAGGCCCTGAATTCAGTCCCCAGTGCTGGAGAACAAAAAATAACTTAATCCAAAAAAGAAAGGATCTAGGTTTCCAAAAAGAAAAATACTGCAGCTTTGAAAATTCAAGATAGATAACCTCCAAATAAACATACTACATTTACAGAAATTTATCAGATACCTGATATCCCTTATAAAACCTGGGATACTTATATTGCAGAGCTACTAGAGTTTTGAGTTTTACAACCTAATCTTGACATTCAAAGGTCTTTTGTGAAATAGTAGGGTTTTGGGATCAGTGTTAAGTGATGTTCTGCTAACTTGGTTAGGGACTCCAGATGCTTAACTTGATCCCTAACCTCAGTGATTATATATACTCTGGTTGTACATAACTATATTGGACTTTGCTGAAGAAACAACTTCTTCACTGATAAATCTCTTTTTATCCAGTTATTTCTGATAATTTGCGTCTGGTGTGATCAGGGAATCTAAACAAACAATATGATAATCTTGTTAGCCCAAAAGGGTCAAAATCTGCCTTTATTCTTTTCCTGCTTTTACTAGTGGTTTACTTTTTTTTTTTTCTCCCTGTTTTTCCATTATCTTAAATATATTTGAAGACTTGCTGTGCAGTCCCTTTTCTCTTTCTTGGCCCAAAAGAGTCTCCAGGTTTTTATTCAGATATACTATTTAAAGCACATACATACCCATACACACACCTAAAGCTCACAGAGATAAGTGAATAAGAATGAGCAATATTGTTGTGCAAGGAAAATTACTGAAATTACTTTCAGAGAACTGAAGTTGTGTATGGTAATTTTCAGTGTGAAAAGACAGGTGCTATGAAGAAGAGTAAATCCTGTGAAGCTGATGTCTCCAGTGATCTTCGAAAAGAAGTAGAAAATCATTATAAGCTTTCCCTACCTGAAGATTTCTATCACTTCTGGAAGTTCTGTGAAGAACTTGATCCTGAAAAACCAGCTGGTGAGTTGCACCAGAATCTTTCTGCTTCTACCAGTGGAAAATGTAATAGGAAACAGGACTAAGGGTAAAAATAGTTCATAGAAAAAGAACATTTTCATAGTTATAAGAAATATGGTATAGTCAAAGAAATTACATGAATACTGTACTAACATGCACTGTCATCTATTATATTGGCAAAGGCAAATAATTTCATGACATTCTTCTTTGTCAGTGTAAAGGATAAACACACATAGCAGGAGTTTTAGTATGAGTTAGCTATTCCATGAACTTTACTGGACTAGGTGAATGAAGAGCTATATTCAGGGATATTTACTGAAATGAAAAGTGAGAAATAGCTTAAATGCTCATCAATAACTTATGTACTCAATGAATATTCATAATTTTAAAAGAATGAGGCAAAATTTTAGGAAATGTAAAGACTCACGTCTAAAATATGCCCAGTGAGAAAAGAAACCATAGTTTATGACACCGTTTGTATTTTTTTTTTAAAGGCTGGGGATACACAACCCTGTGTAGTTTTCACATGTTTATTCTGTCTCTGAGAGGCTGCACAAGAGATTAATCATGCGTTCTGATGGAGTGACTTTTCACTATAATCCCTTGATGTTTAAATATTTTAATAAGCATTCTTCTACACTATATGGAAATACATATGTACTCTGAATTTCGTCATTGTATCAAAACATTTATTGAACAATGTAGCACTTTCTCTAAAAAATAATCATATCTATGTACTAATGTTCAATAGAAACTGTGTGACCCAAACACATTTTCTGTTCTTTTTAGAATAGAAAAACCTAGAAACAGTGCATGTCCATCAGTAGAATAGATGGGCATCCATCTTTTTATAATGGAATATCAAGCTGTATTAAAAATCATGTAAAATAACACTGAACAGCCTGAGAAGATGTACAGAAAAATCAATTGGAGATAGAATGGAAGATAAACAGCAGGTTACAAAATAGCATGATCTCAGTATTGAAATGTTTTTGTATTTATATTTGTTCATAGTAGGGGAAAGTATGGAGTTATCCCTGTATATCAGACTATGAACACTGTTATTTTTATCAAGTAACCTTGGTGGTTATGGTTTTCCTGTTGTTTTAAAAATGAATAGTTTACCCTCCCACTAGGCTGAACTACTACCTTCCATCACCAACTCCTCAAATAAACTATCTCCATACCTTTAAACAGGGGGTTACCTCTTCTAGGAATTGTCTTGCTCTTTCCACCCCTGCCTTTTTATATAACTAGGTTCTTTCTGGGTTACTCACAGAAGCACCAAGGACCCATCTGAAGTTAGAGTTGTACATTTATATAAAGTTCGTGACTCTGTGGTTTTACTTGGCACTCCTGTGATCCGTGAGTGGAGGAAGAAGATGGAATTGCCAGGGTTAGGGTTGGCAAACAGATTATCAAGGAGGTAAGGGAATGTGGAGTGACAATTAGCTGAGGTAAAGAGAAAGGGAAGGAAATACTCTTCATCATCTTTAACCCACGTTTTTGCTGTCTTTGTTGTCTCCCCTGTACTCAGTGCGTTTTTTGAAGCTAACAAGTGTAGTAAAGACCCAAGGTGCTTGTGGCTCTAATATGCCGATAGGAATACAAATAGTCTTGGTTTGGCTAAAAGGAGAAACAGCAGGAATGTTTGAAATGTTAAGCTAATTCAGTGACAAAGTTAAGAGGAAATGCTAAATGTTAAAGCCACATTTCTGTTTCTGTGACTTTTTTCCATGAGTGTGTATACCTAACATCTTCACACCATGACTAGTTTGTTGTTTTTTTTTTAACCAGAAGCTCTAAGAGAGTTGCTTGGAAATAGTTTACTAATGAAAAGGCATTATTTCCTGTTTGCCTCCAGAAAGTATTCCTAAAAAAACTTATTTTCTTTATAGATGCACTTTCCACAAGCCTTGGACTACAATTAGTGGGTCCTTATGATATCCTTGCTGGAAAACATAAAATGAAGAAAAAGTCAATAAGCTTAAACTTTAATCTTCACTGGAGGTTTTACTATGATCCCCCTGAGTTCCAGACCATTATTGTTGGAGATAATAAAACTCAGTACCACATGGGGTATTTCAGGTAAAGGATCCTTTCTTCTTCTCTGAAGTACTGCTTCTGTCTTGCTAATGAGTAGAAGTAGTCACTGGCATCACCTAAGGTGACAGGCCTATTTCCCCCTTACTGGCAGGTATGTGAGCCAGCTGTTATTTTTGCTGTTGTTACTTCTTTAACCTAGCCTAAGATGGTGAACTCTTTAGTTTGAACCTGGTTTTTACTGTGGTTAAAAATTTTTTTTTGCTTTTGGGTTCAGAAACCTCCTTTAACTCAAGAAAGGTAATTCAGAGCACCTATTTTGACTTAGATAAACTGTGTACTGTACTTCCTGGGATTATGATAGGTAAGAGTGGATTCTGAAGTCAGAGAGACTGGTCTGTTTATTTTCTTGGTGACCCCTGTGCCAGGCATTAGTGACTGACTTTCTGTGACTCAGTTTCCTCTTCTGAAACAATGGGGATAATTATATGTGTCTGATAGAACTATTATGAGCATTAAATGAATACATGCAGATGCTTAGACTGCTAAGAAAAAGAAATAGCTGGAGGGGAAATAGACTTTGTCCATTGTACCAGTAGAGATGTTCTTGAAAGTAGAGATTAAGTATAAGATAATAGAGGAAAAGGTGAAATATGCACAAGGGGAGATGTCATACAGCAGAAAATTTATGGGCTTGGAATTGGGTCATATGGATTCCACTTTCTGGCTTTGACACTAATTTACTAGAACCTTGGTTGAATAGCTTAACTTCTATTTGTTTCCTCAATTTTAAAAGGATTTGGTTACATACATGAGTGTAGTCCTTTCATAGCTAATGTTTTGTTGTCCTCTGTCCTTTTTCGGTTTTGGTTTTCTTTTTTTTTTTTTTTTAACAGACTCTAAAATGGGGGTGATCAGTGATTATATATAATTATCTCCAGGCCTTATTCCGCCTTTCTTTGTTTTTGGATATAAAAGTAACTCATTGTTAAGAATCTGAATTTTAGATACTCGTATATAGACAAGATCTGTCATAGCTATTCCTAAGAAACTTGGAGTTTAAACTTGGTAAATTTGTTTCTATTTTTATCAGTATAAACTATTATCTAGAGATCTAAATTCTACTTTCCTGATATTGTAAGTTATAAGCAACTGAATTTTTAATGTCTTTTGTTAAAATAGAGATTCTCCTGATGAACTTCCGGTATATATTGGTACAAATGAAGCAAAGAAAAACTGTATAATTGTTCAGAGTGGAGATAACGTGTTTGCTGCAGTCAAGTAAGAAAATATTTTATTTTCATTCTATTTATCATTAAATATTTGTTTACATGTTTCCAGTCCATTACTAAGGGAACCTAGAGTAACCCACAAATTGTCAATTTCTAGAGATCATTTCTATGACTTTTCAGACAGTTTTATACACCCTCCTTTGTTGCCACTCCTGAACAAAAAAATAATACCTCTTATATATAATTACTTATTTCACTTAATGAAAACATTGCTTAATTTTGTGCTAGGGGTATAGCTCAGTGGTAGAGAACTTGTTAGCGAGGCCATAGCTTTAATCCGCAGCACCATAGATAGATAGATAGATAGATAGATAGACAGACAGACAGACAGGCAGGAAGAAAGAAAGAAAGGAAGTTGCTTAATCTTGATTTCATAGGCCCTGTGGTAAAACCAAAAAATTTTTATACATATAGTTTTAAACTCTGTCCTATATAGTGGGTTCATTAAAAGACCCACAATATAATTCAGCAGAAAGGTTTAATACGGTAGAGTGGGCACTCATAAAATTCTTCAACAGGCTAATGGAATGTTCTGAGCCTCCAGAAATGGCAGATGTGTGACAGAACTGGCTCACAAATGGAGTTTAAGTCTGTGCCGTCAGCAGGCCTGTGAAATCAACTGCTGTCACAAGTAGCTCCAGGACCACATTGTCGTTGATATAGCCTGGGCCAGGCAAATCTATGCCCTGCCCTGTGCCTTTCAGCTGCCAGGTACTAGAATTTTATCTACAGCTGCTGCAGAACAGTCAGATGTCTCTATCACTGTACTCTCTGGTGGAAGTGGCAGAAGCACAGCTGTTGCCTTGTGTCTCTTCTGCCTTTTGGATTTCAAAGAATTGCGTCTGCTTGGGAAAAGCAAGGTCCCAAGTGGAGCCCCGGCTGAATAGTACTATGGAAAATGCACCAGCTTTCAGTGGGAGGGGCTGGAATCAGCCACAGACGTGACTTGAAGCCGTTTGTCACCAGCTGTGTAGTTTGCAATGTAATAAGGCATTTTTTAAATGATAACTAAGGATTGAACCCAGGGCCTCAGCAAACACTCTGCCATTAAGCTACACCCCTGACCCTTTTTACTTTATTTTGGGGCAGGATCTCACCATGTTGCCCAAACGGGCCAACTTAAAATCCTCCTGCTGTAGCCTCTGCAGTAGCTAGAATTACAGGTGTGCGCCACCTACCCAGCTAGAAAGCAATCTTTTTATCACTTTAAATATAGTACATAGCTCAAGTTTTGTGTGACCTCTTTTAATACTTTTTTAAAAGAGCTTTTTATTCTTGTGACGTAACTGTCCAAATTTAGAAGATTCAAGAAAATTGAAATTACCTAGCACAACCACTGCACTGGTCTGTGCTATGTACATTGGAGGTATCAGAAGGCCAAATGCCTTGTAGATGACTAAGAAAAGGCTGTTTTTCCTGATACCTTTAAGTTTCATATAAAATGTTGCATGGTATTTGTAATTTATATACCTCTTTTAAACTCTAGAGATTTTTTTTTTTTTTTTTTTTGGTTTTTCTCCGGTACCAGGAACCGAACTCACGACCTTGCGCTTGCCAGGCAGGCGCTTTGCCACTGAGCTAAATCCCCAGCCCCTTAAACTCTAGAGGTTTTATGATTCAATTTAACGTGGTGCCACCTTTGTTAGAAGCTATAGTTGTTTATTTGTTTATTGTCTGTCTTTTGCGCTAATAGTAAATTCCATGAGGATCAAGGCTGTCTCGTGATACACTATTAATCATTTATTCATCTCAAAAATACTGTACCTTGGCAAATAAAACACCTAATTTTTAATTTGTATTATTAATCTTATTTGTCTTAACAGAAATCTTTTTTCAGAAGAAAGGTAATATGATAGTGATTATCTAAAGTAATCTAATAAGATTGTTGTGGCATTTTTTAGCTTATTGGAAAACAGAAAAGAAAAATGAAAAACAAAAAACTTGGGTAATATTTTAATTTAGTGAGGACTAGGAAGTGAGTATTTGAGGAACTGCCTCCAATAATTTATCTCAAACGGGTAAAGTACTGCTTTACAATATAGCTGTTTTAGTGCTTTTTGAGTATTATAACTAGTTTAGTTTTGAGAGACCTTCCTTCAATCAGCTAATCAGAACATTTGTTTTCTTAATTTACTTATATAGCAGCCTAAGAAACATCTTTCAAAGCAGACTATTTGTTACAAACAAATTATTTGTATGCTTCAGAAAAGTTCTCTGTGCAAGATTTAATAGTAGCTAAAAAATGCATATTAAGCCAGAAAAGATTAATAACGTTTAAACAATCGTGAAAAACAGTGATGGTCAAGGTGAAAGAAACCTTTGTGGTATAAGTGCTCATGTAAAAACTTCTGTAGAGAGTTGTTTGAGAAATGTTTAACCATATTCCAGGATTTCTTGATAGGTGATTAATATTGCCAGACACTGTTGTAAGTGTATATTAATACCCTTGAATCAGCAATTCCAATTCAAGCTGTTAAAAAGAAGTTGCTGTCTACCCAAATATGTATTGTTTATAAAAACAGATTGTTTATAAAAACAAAAAGTTAGAAACAACATATACTGTATATATATCAGTAGGAAAGATTAGGTAAATATAAAATATTCATTTGTTGGGAAGAGAGCAAATAACAGAAAAGTGTAGAATAGTTCCATTTCATGCTGTTTAATGCAAGTGAAAAAAAAATCTAAACATACGGAAAATTTTATAATATTTATCTTTGGGCAGCAAAATTAAGAGTGAGTTTTCTTTCTTTCCCCTTTCCTTTTTTATCCTAAAAATAAATATTGAAATAGTTTTAACTTCATGGGCCTCCTAAATAGTCTTAGGGACCCTATCTATCCCTATCACAGGGTCAGATCTATTCATAGTAACAAAATGTTATTTTTACACAAGACACAAAGGTAATTATGGGTAATAACTGTTGCCATTTTGACAGGAACCAAGGTGGTGACACCAAAGTTGCACTAGTCCCCGCATTTGCACAGCAAGTGTCATTTAGGAATGTGAGGAAAGAATATTCTAGATTTCTGCCATTCAGTACATCTGTTTAGCACTCTGTGTGATGAGAGGAGGAACATACAGCACTTCTGCACACTGACGTAGTATGGTTTGTCTCAAGGGAACAGACTCTTCCTTACCTTTACTGTTAGAGTGAGTTATTGATGAACTGGTTATTTGGGCATGGGTACTTGCAGAGCAATTATTTTCTCAGTTGAACCGAAGAAATAAATAATGAACTATGTTTGTTACCAGTACTAAAAATCAAGGTTTCTATCAAAAATCAGATCAGAGACTACAGTACCTGTGACCATCACTGAGCTTGAAAGCTCCTACCTAAAGACTTTTTAAATGAGTGTGCTTGTTTTCATATTATTATATAATAGAATGGACTTGATGTCATGAAGACTTAACATTTAAAAGATCCACATAACTTAGTGACCAGTATGTTCCAGGTGACCCAGATGATCCTCCGTGGCATAGTGAAAAGATGCATTTTGAATTCAGACATTTCACTGGATTTAATGCAATGGAACACGGAATGTGCATGGCTATAGTTTTGTGTGTTGTGCCTTATCTTAAAACATTTTGAAGCAGCGTGTTGGAGAGTACGTTTGCAGCTGAGACAAAAGTTAATAAACTGGCAGAGACAGTCATAATAAAGAGTAAAGGGCTTGATGGCTGTACCACAACCTACAAGAAAGAATAGTAGCAAGGGAGTGGTACTTGTGTGAACATAAAGAAATATATGGCACAGAATTCTTGATGGCCAGAGAAGACTAAAGATTGATTTATATAGGCCTGACATGATTAAAAATTTTTTATAAATAAAAAAATATATTCTGTTAGTGTATAGCTGATGATGATAAAAGGTGAGGTTTGGGTTTCTTTGGCACATTAATTCACCCTTACTAGCTTCCTGCAAGGCAGCTATGCTCACCACTACACCATGAATGCTTCTCCTTATTAGCTTTTTGAGCTCAAGTAAGTTGATGATGGTTTGTGTCTCAGTTTCTTGGTATATAAAATGGAGTGAAAAACAGCACCCCACTTCAAATGTTCTAAGCCTCTTACAGTCAGCCCTCAGCCCATGACAGTGTTTCAGTGAATAAGCGCAAAGTCTCAGATGTAGGTAGCAGATGGAAGTGAGTTTCCTTGTGGGGTTTGGTACTGCCTACAGACGATTGGGCTGGGCTGTTTGTCCAGTGGAGTGCCGCTTCTCTTCCTTTTACTCTTGACCTCCTCCACTGCTTACTTGTGGCAAAATTCTTCACTTTTTATGATAAAATGGAAGATTCTGGCATTAACATACTGTTCTGTTCGCACTCTTCTAGGAATTACTTGGGCTATAATTTTGAGTAAGCTTGTAAACTTTGCTTTCCTTTTACATTTTCTAAATCACACAAATTTGAAGTTAACGCTTTTCAAAACTTACTAAACTTAAATATTATGAGTGTTCTTTGGCTCTTTAAAAGTGAATAATCCTTTTGGATGAGTACATGGTATTTTTTTTTCTTCTTATGCCAGATTGGCCCAAAGTAGTATACCATAGCTTAATATTCGAGTGATACAATTTAAAACTTGACTTAATCTCAGCTTTTAAAATAGCTCTTATTTCTCTAATGTCTACAATAAAGATATACAAACTTAAATCATATTTGCTATTTCTTTGACTGGCAGCTTTTTATTAATATTACATTTCCTTGACAAAGGTAATTAATATTACCTTGTTTGACAAAAACTGTGAGGAATTTGGAGAGAGCTGTTGGCAATTTTTCTGCAGACTTTCTTGCATGGAATTTGACATTTTTTTCTTATCTCCCTTAACTTGTATATATTTAGTACAGCATTATAATGGCTTCTACTTCTTTTTCAGACTATTTTTGATGAAAAGGCTTAAAGAAGTAACAGATACAAAGAAAGTTAATTTCTTGAAAAACATAGATGAAAAACTCACAGAAGCAGCCAGAAAATTGGGGTACTCGTTGGAACAGAGAACTGTGAAGATGAAGCAGAGAGATAAGAAAGTATGATTTCAGTCTCTTCGTCTTTTTCTTTTGATTTCTCCCCTCACCCCTCCATCGTAACTTTCTCTTTTCTAGCCCAGGCTTGCAAAGAGCTGGATGCCATATCTTCAGGCACTTCCGTATGGGCCCGTCCTGAATAAAACTAGTACTGTGACCAGTACCTTAGTGTACTTAGTTATTGGAAACCCTGCATTAGTTCCCTTCTGATCCTGATTCAGCTGCTAGGGTGATACTCTGATAAGTTGTAGACATTAAATTGCAGTCTTAGCAGTTTTTTCTTTAGTCTTAAAGATTAGAAATTGTTTCCAAAAATGTACATTTTAATAAAACTCATTATGTTGTGGCCTTTTAAAATTACTTTAAGATTTTATATGGACATTTTATCTTTATGATTATCCTAGGAAGTTTCTTTCATCTTATGACTAGAGGGAAGGATAGCAATATTAGCCTTGTTACTGTATATTCCTAATTTGTCTTGATTATAGACTGAGCTTCTATGAACTTAGCACTTGTTAGCAAATTTTTTATCAGAATCTGGTTTTATTACACAAATTACAATTACAATTTATTTTACACTATATTTCCTCAATTCTTCCCCATAATTATAAATAAGATATCACTGAGATTTAAATTTCATAGGTATGTTTATTCTGGCTGCCCCTCCGACAAATTTTTAGTGTTTTTAGTACAAAATAGATAGTAAAAACATAAATACAAAGAAAAAAAGACTGTGAAGATGAAGCAGAGAGATAAGAAATGGCAGTCATGATTTTATACTCTCATTAATAATTACGTTTTCAGATCCTTTTTGTGTAAATTTGTTTTTTAAATAATACTGTCAGAGCTTCGTTTGATATGTGTTCATTTACTAGCAGAAATTCATTTGTCCTTATGTAGCAGAGTAATAATATATCCATTTACGCAGAATATAGCACCATGGGGCACACCGGTGATCAGTGTTTCTGTGTTTTGTGGTACTGGAGATTGTCAGTACCTTTTTGGTACAAAAGTGCGAAGTCTTTATGTAAGTTAACTCATTTTACCCCTACAGCAAATCTCGGTGTAGGAATTATCCTATTTTACAGAAAACTAAATTGAAACTTTGTGCTCTATTGAAAGTCATTAGTGACAGAGCTGAGGTCTGTATTCATGACTTTCGTATTTAGTATTCTTTCCTCTCTACTGTCTTACCAATTAGCTATATGCCATTGCTTTGAGTGTCTGTCTTTAGTTTGTAAAGCTTGCTTATAGTTTAAATAGATTCATCTTTATTAATTTTACTGTTACGTACTTTGCAAGCATTTTTCAGCAGTTAATGTCATAATTTTGTTGTTACTCTTACTTGATAGATTTTTTTAATATATTCAACTCTATCAGAGTTTTCTTTTTCCAACATAAAATTATTTTTAAATAGTACTGTATTTTCCTTTCTTCTCCTAGTTTATTTACAGTTTCATTTTTATATTTACTCTTGAAATCCAACTGCAAATTATTTTGGTGTGAAGATTAAAATATAGGGCTATAAGTTTGTTTTTTTTTCCTGAAGAGTGAGCAGTTGCCTAAAACTTCTTTTGAATAATCTGACCTTTCTGGAGGCCTAATAAAAAATAATGAAAGAGTGAGAGTGAAATTTTAAGATGCAGAAACTTAGGTGAGAGAAGTTTAAAATGAGAGAGTATTTTTGGACTGTGGTTTCATTGACTGTACAGAGGTGGAATATTGCAGCAAATATTTTATTAAGGAAAGACCTTTACAAAGGCCGCTAGTGTGACTAAATGGAAGAATGTTGACTGAAAGGATTTTGGTGGTGGTCTGGCTGGGTTTTTGTCTTTGAAGATTAGCACTTGTTAAAAGCAAACTGATTATATGATTTGCCTACAAAGGGTACTAAATAAGTAGAAACTGCCCTATTTGGGGGAGTTGTTAAAGTGAGTTGGTAAAGCATAAATTTTCCAGGTGAAAATAAGTAGGGTCTGAATTTGGCAGGATGGACAAGAGGAATTTTGTCGTCTTCTTCCTGCTAAGTAAGAAACCTATTCCTCTGTCTTCTTTTCAGACCAAGTTCTTATGCTTTCTACCTAGAAGACCCTTGGCTTTAGAGGAAACTGATGTTGTGGGAGACTTCTAAATTACTAGTACAATTAATAAAAATGAGTTTAGATTTTATAATTATGTCAGACGCTTTTTAACTAATTCTTTTCAGTTTTTATTAGTATATGTTTGTTGCACATGGTTACATTCCTCGTGGAGAGGTGGTACTATACTTAACATGTCTTTAATTCTTTTCATTTCCCCTCCCTCTCTCCTCCCACTCCCTCCATCTTTTGGGCCCCTTCTCATTTGAAAAAGATGCATCTCTGTATTTCCTATTTATTTATATTTTGGGTTTCTCATATAAGAGAAACCATGTGATATTTAAGCTTGTGTGTCTTTTTTATTTCACTTAACATTATTGTCTGAGGGTGCCTGTTAGCTAATTTAAAAAGCAAATAGTATCAAATTTTTATTCCAGAGTCCAAATTTAGTGCAATAAAATGTCTTTGAATATTGTTTTAGCAGAATTGTTCAGGGTTTGTATGGTTTTTTTCTTTTGTTTTCTGTTTGGTTTGATATGGTCCATTTGCCCTGACTTAATTTTTTGTTTATTTTTTCCATAACTTAGGTTGTGACGAAGACCTTTCATGGTGCGGGCTTGGTTGTTCCAGTAGATAAAAATGATGTTGGGTACAGAGAACTCCCTGAAACAGATGGTAATATATTTCATACGTAAACATGTCCGTGTATGTTAGTATCTGTATAAATATGTATATGTGGGAGAAGGTTTTCCTTCTATTGGGAAATAGGTAATCGTAAAGAACAAGCTCATTACAACTGGGTTTATACCAGTATGACTTTTAGTAAATTGTTTAACCTCACTAAACCTTATCTCTTTCATTTGTAAAATGAATGATACTATTTCATAGACATACTTAGGATGCAAGAGTATGTAAAGTACTTAAAGTTTCTGAGGTGTTTCATAACCTTTGCTATTATAGTGAACTTACAAAATAGTAATTATTGAAATAGGTTTTTACTTGTATAGTTCCTTATGAACATTTTTTATCTGCACGTAAAACTGTTTAGCTTTCATAAACCCAAGTTCCTGATCTACTTCATACATAAGAACACTTTGAAAATGCACTATACATATAATCTCATTATTGCTATATTAAAAAAAGAATTAAAACTTTTCTTCTCTCCATTCCCTTCTTATTGTAGGCATCCTTGGCATTCTTTAGCATCCTATTCCAAGGAGTAATAAATTTAAAAGGAAATCAAATTAGCAACTCCTCGAGGGAGAGCCAAGTATTCCTGCCCAGCACTCATATCTGGCCATTCTTTCTCAGAATGAAAGCAGTTAGCCTTTGTAATTACCAGTCTTTAGTGTTAAGAACTAAAAAATGTGTATTTTTAACCATTTCTCTAAACGCGCTGTTCTCAAACTTCGAGATTGAGATGCTTCATATGATAATTACTTACATGTAACAGTTTTTGCTGTATCACTACCACTTTAGAGGAATGCCTCAGGGGGTATGAACATGGCCAAGCTGTCCGTACAGTGGCCACTAGCCACATGTGGCTGCTGAGCACTTTAAATGTGGGTTGAAGTGACTGAGGAACAGAGTATGAAATTTTAATTTAAATAAATGTACAAGTTGAGCCAGCATTAAATTTCTATATTGATTATATGTTGAAATAATACTGTTTTAGAAATACTGGGTTTTTAAATTAGCCTGTTTTTTTTTTTTTTTTCATGTGAATACTGGAAGAATGTTAATTGTATATATACTCCATTTTATGGTTTGCTTAGACATTATCCGTTCCATATCTCCTCTCTACATCCAGAGACCTTCCTAACTCCTGTCATGCAATCTTCTGTTGGTACCTTAAATGACTTTCTCTTTCCCTTCTTCGCTCACTAGTCCACTTGTAGCTTTAAGGACCATCATTGGGGGCCGGGGATATAGCCAGGGGTGCAGTGCCTGCCTGACAAGCACAAGGTCCTGAGTTTGATTCCTGGTTGCCCAACCCCCGCCCCAAAGCATCACTGGCATCTCATTTGGGAAAGGTTGAGAACATCTGCTACACAGCAGCAGCCTAAAACTTTAAGGGTGATAAATGTTAAACTGTAGTTCCTGGAGTCAAGCATTATTTTACGCTAGTTGTGTGGGGTTTTGGAGTTTTATATGCAAGCTATTAGGTCCTTCTGTGGTTTATTTCTGCATAAGAAGTAGACATAAAGACTTACTATCTCCTTGCTCTTGCCAAGTATTGCTTACCAGGAGGTGTAATGGGCTGAGGCTTATTAACGTGGTGTGACAGTGATAAACAGAAAACAATTCAGTTTGTTCCTAATCAGTATTCCTCTTTGAAGCTTCCTAAGATAATTTTTAACCTTGCAATTAAAATACCATTTACTGGGGCTGGGGATTTAGCTCAGGGGCACAGCACCTGCCTGGAAAGCACGAGGTCGTGAGTTCAATTCCCAGTACTGGAAAACAAAACAAAACAAAAAATAAATAAATAAAATACCATTTATGGACCAGTTCTTAAATGTCATGACTCATTATGCCATGTGCTGTGTAGGTACCAGTAATAGTAAAAGATCCTCGTCCAGCTCTTTAGGTCTCACTCTCATTTTCAGAAGGAAAACAGAACCAGTGTTGGCGTGAAAAGATGAGGGCACTGGCTCTCGCACTTGCCTTTCTAACAGTAGCGTGCACACCATTGCCCAGAGTGAGAAGAATTGCTTAACTTAGTCGCCTGCCTTTTCGTTTTGACAAAATCGCTGTGGCATGGCTTAAGCATTCCATTTGGTGGTGGTAACGGGCCATGATGAGAATTAAGTATGAGAATTCCCAAATCATTAAATCGAATGCTTTGAGTAGTAACATTTAAGGCTTCATTTTGAGTAGTTAAGTCTTCACCGAGGTACGTTTTAAGTTTGGGCTTCTGTTAGGTGAATTTCCGTAGAGTGTTTTCTTGGTAGAAGAACATGTCTTTCCTCATGTTGCTGAGCCAAGTGTTTTTGTCTCTGTTCGGTGTTTGTCGAGCTTGGTCATTCTTGTAATTTGCCTGCTCTTTTCTAGTCTGTGTGATTTTCCAAGGACATAAACTGAAAATATAATACCAGAAAGTGATAAACTTTAAATTATTTGCTACGGGAAAACAAATAGGTCTTTACTTCCATGCCAACTCTAATTGATTTGTAGTGGTTGCCTGGAGCATTGTGGTGAGAGAAATTTAAAGGGTGCCAGTCAGTTAATTAAATCTGGATACACAAAAGAACCACTTAATTTTCCAGCCTTTAGTAAAGGAGGATTTTGTAGGAAGCTTCATTTGTTGCATGAAATGATTGGCTTTGCTTTTTCTGCAAAAGAAAGGCCATGAAACTTACTTTAAATTATTTAACATTTGATAGGCTGCAAACCAGTAAAGACTATAAAGTTATGGCCATTTATAGTCAGAAACATAAGGGATAAATGGTGTCATTTGTCCAGTGTGATATTGTCCATCAAGGGCAGCAAAAGGAACAAAACACATTTTGTGACCTCAGATAATAGCGTGTATTCCCCATTTGCATCATGACTGAATGAATCAAATGATATCATACACTGAGGTTAAAATTCTGAGTGTATCTTTACCACCTTTGATAGTTATGTATATTACAGTTTACTAGTAGTGCATTATTCTTAAGTCTGATTATTGTTTTAACCAGTCCTCCTCTACCCCAGCATAGTAGCCACCCTGTTTAGAAATGTGTTTCGGCTTGAGTAATACATTTTTTCCATTATTGAATTATCTTCAAGGAAGTACAATTTGTCAAAAACAGGTTATGATTTGTCAACATAAAATCTATTGTAGATATTTAGTATCTGGTCTCATTTGCATCCTGACATCTGATGTACACTGGCATTCAGAGAGTAATGAAGAAAATGTTGAAAGCTAAACTAGAAATATTAGGCCACTGGTAATTTTTCTCTGTGTTCTTACTGCAGATTATACTCTTCCGTGGGTTTCTCTTTCTCTCACTCCACTCCGCATGCAATGCATGGACTAGTCTAGAGGCTGGCACTGGCTGGCCCTTCGTGGGTTACATACTCTCTGTGTTGCATATTCTTGTTTGGGTTTTTTGTTTTCTAACTACTTAAAAAGACATTGCTAGTTTGAGGGCAGTTAGAAATGAGCTGAACCAGGCGTGGCCAAAGTTTGCCAACTCCTGGACTAGCCTGCTGAAATTTTTTGTTTATATAAAATCATGACTGTAACTGACTCCATTGTGAAATGTTTTCTGTTAAGCCATTTTTATGCTTGAATCTTTAGAAAAATTATGCAATTACCATTCAGAATCATAATTCAGCAGTTTACTAAGGTGGCATCAATTGGTTAGTACAGTCATACGAGGAAAAACTCTATGGTCTTTCTTACCTCTAAGAGTGTATTCTTTCTAATTGAATAGAATGTCTCCTTATGCTTATTTCAGCTGACCTCAAGAAAATTTGCAAAACAATTGTCGAGGCTCCAAGTGATGAAGAGAGACTAAAAGCCTTTGCTCCCATTCAGGAAATGATGACTTTTGTGCAGTTTGCCAATGATGAATGTGATTATGGCATGGGGCTTGAGTTGGGAATGGACCTCTTTTGCTACGGTTCACATGTGAGTAAAAAAAAAAGACTGCTTCCACAGACACACACTGATGCATGCACATTCACAGTCCCCAAATTCTGGCGGAGATAAGCTACAGATTCAGCTCCTGTCTCAAAATGAACTTTTCAAAGTGATTTTTAATCAGATGGCCAAAAATACTTGAAATCCATCTTGTATTCAGGCAAAGGTTAATAACCAATATTATTTCCTTCAAATTTAAAGTGAATTTATCTATTAGGCATGTAATAGAGGTATGCCATTTAGTTTGATATGTGTATATAGTTGTGCTTGTAAATATGGCATGTATGTACACCTTTGGGTCCATTTCTTTTTTTTTTTTTTTTTTTGAGGCAGGTTCTCACTGTATAGTTGAGAAAGGTCTTAAACTCACTGCCTCAGCCTCCCAAGTGCTGGGACTACAGGCGTGTGTCACTGCACCCAGCGGATAAATACTATTTTAAAATATGCTTTAAATTAAAGTATAGGAGATGGTAGTTCTTGTGAATTATTTGCTTATCAAATTAGAAGAATTTAAGGCAATCAGGTATAGTGGATGTAACGTTCTTCAATTTTAAGTCACATTTCCCTCATATGTGTAGTATTAGGCCCTCTCTCCAGCATCTTTGTATCTTTGTCCTTGCCTATAAAACGTCTGTCTACGTGCGCATGTGTGTGCATCTCCCCTGTCCTGCACCAGGCCATTTAATACTCATTTAATCTCCTTTGTCACCAAGTTACAGGAAAGCAGAGACTCTTACCCAGGATTGCACAAGCCATGTGTTTTCCAAGTTAATGTCTAAGTCATTGTCTAAATAATTCCCAAACTGTAAAGTGCTTATGAATCACCGGGGGATATTGTGAAAATTCAAACTCTACTTCAGTAGTTCCGAGATGTGACTGAGACTACACATTTCTGACCTGCTCCTGGGGGTAGGAATGTTGCTATTTTACAGACACACTAAGGAGCAAGACTGAACTACTAGGCTTGACATTAGCTCCATCAGTATCATCTGGCAAGTTTGTTGAAACACAGACTGGTGCTCCATACACGTTCCTCCAAATTAGATTCAGTTCTTGGGTGGATATGGAGAGATTCCATTTCTTACAAGCTTGCAGGGAAGTTGATGCCACTGGCTAAAAGAGGTCATTGCAAGAACCCTGCCTATAAACCATATTACACTGCCTTTCTTTGCCTACCTTATATATGGTTATTAGTAAAAGTAATGAAAATGTTTAACAACCAAAATGATAGTCATTGACCAATGAAGTGTTTGGTCAACGTGTTTAATCTATCAGAAAGGGTCAACCACTAAAAAAGTAGATCCATGAGATGTGAATCAGCTAAATAACAAACTTGATTGTGGTGAGAATAACATGAGTAAAAAGGTGTAGGATAGCATTTACCTTGTGTTAAGTGCTAAACAGTTGTTTACTATTTATCAACAAAAGAATGTAGCATCGGTATTTTTCTGCCGATGCATAGTAATAGCAATGCTGTAAAAATCATCCAATAAATCTAAACCTGTAACTCTTAATAGGGACGAAGTGGCTACATGGTGGCAGTAGGAAAAGGAATTTGACAGTGATTTGAAACATATTCTTGCAGGATAGTGCAAAAAAAAATAAATAAATAAAGCTAATTATTTTACTGGTGGGAATATACTAAAAGGAAAAACTACTTGAGGGCATAGCTTGGGACAAAAAAAAAGTTGATAAAACCTAAGGGACTAGAGAGGCTTCATTTTTTTTAAACTCATTTCTCTTCAAGATACACCATTAATCTTAGACACAATTACAGCTGACACCAGGTTCCTGTCCCAAAATTCACTGTTCAGTAACAGAGCAAGTAGCTAACATTATTTTTGGAAGTAGGCTTCATTAAACAGGTACTGTTTTCTATTAGGGTGTATTATTCTGATCAATCTAATATTCTTTTGTTTTTTAGTATTTTCACAAAGTGGCTGGGCAGCTTTTACCTCTTGCATATAACCTGTTGAAGAGGAGTCTGTTTGCAGAGATTATTGAGGAACATCTGGCCAACAGAAGTAAAGAGAACATAGACCAACTTGCAGGATGAGTGAGAGTTTGCTTTGGTGTACAGTGTGTTAAACCTTTAGTATTAAACTTGAGTTTTTTTGTTTGTTTGTTTTTAAGGAATACAGAAAATAAACCGAGGGAAACATTTCCTAAAAACTTTTATAAGGCTCTTGTGGTCTGATTTTGTTTCTTTTATGTGTAAATAAATGACAGTCAAATCTCGTAATTGGTGATACCTTAATCACATTTTGGAAGACAACTAGGGTCGCCCTCTGCATGTTAACTGGCAAATGCCTTTGGATAGCTAGATTTTCCTCTCTTCCAGGAGCCCTCCCTTTCAGTATAGAGCGAGCACCCCTAATACAAAACTCTGAAATCTGCAACTTTTTCATGCCAGCATGACTGAAAAGTTTTGGATTTTAGAACATGTTTGTTTTTGGATTAGGCATGTTGACCTGATAGACATTGCAAATATTCCAATACCTGAAAAACTAAACTCTGAAACACTTCTTGTCCCAAGAATTTCACACAAAGGACACTAGGCCTGCACTTCTTGTGTGGACAAGAGTCTTGTTTCTTGTCTTGAGTTAGAATAGCTCTAGCTTTACTGATTGAGTTTATGGGGACAAGGAGAGGCACGGAACAAGGAAAATCAGTACACTGTAACAGCACTGTATTACAGAGTGCCTGACCCCAGGCCCACCAAAACTGTGCTTTGATAACGTCCCGGGTGACTTGTGTGTGTCCTCTAAGTACGCAAATATCCCATTTGGTAAAGTCTTAAAACCCATTCTTTCGACTGTGATTTACCAGTCAATATAGCATAGTATTTTGATAGAGTAAACAGTATTCTATTAATCATATGCCATTAAAGTTTCCCACTACAAATCATCCATTGACTTTCTAGCTTAAATCTGTAGATAGCTGTTTTCTACCCAATTTAGATCCTCCTAAAACCTGACAAGATGTGCTTCATCTTAAGAGCAAACAGCAAACTATGAAATATAAAATGCATATTTTGCAGATCAGGCTAAAAAAGCCTACAAGCTTTTTCACCTTTATGTAAATTTCAAGATAGAAAAGCACTCAGTTCATCTAATTTAACCCCAATGACTTACCCAGTTTCTGCTAAACAGTAGTTCTCCAAAGTTCTTACATCAGCTGTTACCAAACATGTAAGTACTTACTCATTTTTATAGAAGGTGTAAGTACAGTTAGCATGGTTCAGATAATGAGTAACAGGTCTCATCTCCACAATTAGACTGTAAACTTTTTAAGGACAGGAGTTTTAGAATTACATACATATTTCCTTTGGTAACAGACCTTTGAATATATATGTAATAAAACAGCCCTATCACATGGCCCTCACTAAATGGGAGATAAAATGAAACGCTCTCCCAAGGGTTGGGAAACATGCCTGGGAACTAAGGATTCTGGACTTCTCAGACAAGTGTCTGCTGGAGTCCACTCCCCCTTGTCGCCACCTGGATCTGCTCCTTTTCTTTCTGGGCTGTACTGCCGGGGCCAGAAGGTGAGGCATTTCTTAATGAGCCTGCCCCTTACCTTCCCTACAGTCCCAACTTCAGTTATGTAAGTAGTGCCCAGTCCCAGGACCATGTGAACTCTAGAGCATCACACTAACAGTACACATGACCAGAAAAGGTGACCAGATCAGCTGGTTTTTTTAGACTAACACTTCAGAAGCTTGTGAGCTTTTTCCCTCCGACTTTCCTAGTTTCTAAGGTGCTTAACAATTCTAAATACTGCCCTCTAGTAACACATCTATAAAACATCCAAATTCAGGTGTCTTCCATTACGCTAGAAATACAAGATTAGAAATAATACTTATTTCTTGCCATTCTGTAATCCACCAGGCTGAAGTATACAGTTTCTAAGATTTTTATATCCCTCATGATCAATTATATGAATTCAAAAAGGACTTATCAAAGAACAGAAAGATTAGCTTTTCATCCATGTCTTATACAAACACGTCTGGACAGCTAGGTATGTGAGCCGAGATACTGGACACTATTGCCAAGAACATGGCAGCTATAATCGGAATAGTACAGTTGTGAGTAGATTTTAGAAGGCAATAAGCTAACAAGAAATATGGGCATACAGTCGAACTCCAACTAGGAGGTACTGATCTTCCAGCTACTACAGATCTTTCATTGAAAAGCTTCCCTACTGTGAAGCCCTTCACTAAAGGCATAATCCTCTTTTCACCTACCTAGGATCTGGCCACTCAGTGGTGATCCGGCCACTCAGCATCCAAAGGGCACTTAACCTGCCTCTTCTCTGAGAACAAATATAAGTGCCTAAATTCTTTATTAATGAAGCATCTTGATTCAGTCAGGATTTAACACAAAATCATCACCCCACTCAAATTTAATTTCTTGGAGTTCAGTAATGAAGTTTCTTATATATAACTTCTCAAACTTGCACGTAGAATGAATACCCAAAGGAAAACAAAAGCTACTACATGATCTGGGAGGTAACACTATATAAACAACTTGGCAATGACATAAGACCCTGGTACTTGCTCAAACATTAACCTTACCTGGCTTAATGTATTTCAGCCCAAACTACTGTGATCATAATTGATGTTCCTCCAATATCCTTGACTTACTCTCCTGAAGTGATCTATAGGTTTTGACAATCTACAGTAATATGTTGTCAGTACCAATAATGAACATTGCCCTAATAGCATCCAATTATACAAACATCGTCACCATCTTTCTGTCCGTTCCTAAAGCACCCGAACTATTTTACAACTTGACCATACCCTCCAATTCACTAACCACCTCATTCTAAGACTCCTTTCTCGGCTTCCTTCTTCATCCAGGCTTTTAGTTCAATTTCCCATCATTCTCAGCATTCCTGTACACTCACCCTTTGTTCTACGTTAGAAGTGTAAGCCAAATAAACTGGCCACTCATCTGAATCTGTTAATATCAAGTAGAAAAACTGTAATCATGCTAGATGTTTTTACTTGAACCTTAAATTGGCCAGGTGCAACGCCCATTGATCCTACTTCATCTTTGCTCAAACTTTCAACATCTCCCCCATCCTGTCAATTTCACTGAAAAAACAAATACTTAAAAAAAAAAAAAACTCATGGCTTTATCAGCCACCTATCATACTATTTTTCTGACTTTTGTTTCATTTGCCTACTCAGGATCTCTTCTCTTTCTCTCAGACCATTAATTTTCCCTCTCAAACATTCCTATAATTAACAAAAAGAAGTTATATTATCTTGTATCTGAAAGTCTCTCAGATCATTAATCTCTCCTTTTCAACAAAACCCTTTGCTAACTTACTCCTGTTTTACAGGAAGAACTGTGACAGCTGTCTCCAGTTCTGCTTCCAATGTGTTAAAAACGTGCTGTCAGGCTGTTGCTTGCCACTACCCCAGCGAACAGGCTCTGGCTGTGTTCACGCGGTCAGCCTCCAGTGCTCACCTGCTTCATCTATCAGCAACACCTGACAGCTGCTCTGCCTTGAGCTGCTACTCACTTAGTTTAGGAGACCACCCTTCCTTTATACCTCTCCTCTGTCCACAATTCACGCAGTCTTCCCAGTCTCAGCAGCCTCCCCATTGAGCTTTCAGGCCAGACCTTCCTCCTGAACTCGAGTTTCTATAGGCTAGGGCTTACTTGACACCCCGACTAGTAATCCAGAAGACACTCATGAGATCTTTCCCAACTCAGTGGCCATTCCAGTTGCGTCCTTTCTCAATCTACAACACTCAGACATCCTTGACTCACCAGCCTCCACATTTATCACCTGGCAAATCCTATCCACTCTATGTTCAACACGGCCACAATCCAAACGCTTTCACCACTTTTGCCAGCTTCAGCTGGATTCAACCCTCTGCCATGTTTCACTTGGATTACTCCAAGTGCAGGGTTCCTTATTGTCTATTCCCAGGAACCGGACTCAGAGAGGTCATTTTAAATTAGATTGTATCACTTGCCTGCCTCTTTGGCTTCTCACTTTATATAAAGTAAAATTCAAACCCCTGTATCCCAACCTCTTTCCTTTTTACCCCCTTTCCCTCTTACCTTGCTCTACACACCATGACCAGCTTGGTATTCCTTACCTGGCAGATACCTCAGGGTGTTGGCATACAGCATTTTCTCTTTGTGGGAGATTTTTCTCACAGATAAATGTCATTCCCTTGCTTTGTTTAGGTTTTTGCTCAAATGTTACCTTGTCTCAGAGGCTTTAACTGATCCTGCTCTATAAAAGTGGGCTGCACACATGCAAATATGTATGGACCTTCACTTTTTCTCCTAGAAAAACCATTAGGATGGGGATTTTTGCCTGGATTTTTATGCTTATAATAGCAAACGGCTCAATCATTTAAAAAAATTGCTGAACTTCTAGCATTCATTACCATCTGACATACTTTAGATTTGTGCTGGGATAAACTTAAAGAACAAAGAACAGCTCCTGACACAGTCAGTTCAATACATACTCAGTAAGTGAACAAACACGTGAGTGATAAAAGATCTACCCTCGACTTCCAATGTTTTCCTTCTTACTAGAAGTTCAATATTATAAGACAACTGAAATTTCATTCCAATGTTTGTCAGCACTGGAAGGCAGTTAAGGCAGTTCTAAGGCAGTTCTCTCAGCAAATATCCAAGAGAAGTTATGAAAGTATAGAAATTGTTTCACCTGTTCTCATGCAGACAACATAATGTCTTTTTTTAAAACCACATTTTAAAATGGGAACTGAAATGAAAGCCTGCTGCAGACATGCAGCTACTGACAGCAGGGGGTGTTAACCCACTGCTAAGAGCGGGAACGTCTTGCTGTTCAATCTAGCATCTTCTCCTCTCTGGCTCTTGCTTAAAAAGCACAGAAATGGCATTTTGAAACCTGAGAGAAGCAGTGTAACTATCACCTTTTGAGGCTGTGTGTGTCAGGCATATTGGCCTACACTGCACAGTGCAGCAGTAGAGAGGAAAGACTGGTAAAGGTGTAATTAAAGGCCAAACCACACATTGTCATATAGATTTTAATAGATTTTCTGATTAACTCATCACAGTATTTTTACTGTAATGATATGCAGCTTTACTACACTAGTATAAATAAAAACATAAATACAGCTCTAGGCAACATCACAGATTAACAAACTAAGCATTCTTTGTG